CTTCTATAGGTGAGACAGCCACCTGTCTCCTCGTCCTACAGACAGACAGACAGACAGACAGACAGACAGACAGACAGACAGACAGACAGACAGACAGACAGACAGACGGACAGACAGACAGACAGACAGACAGACGGACAGACAGACAGACAGACAGACAGACAGACAGACAGACAGACAGACAGACAGACAGACAGACAGACAGACAGACAGACAGACAGATATTAATATGTTGTGTTTAGGTGGTTCTTCCTAGATTTGTGATTCTTTAGTGATTTAAACAGGAGCAGAAGCCTCAGGTAGATTACCCATGATGCAGCAGTGCTGGGCTCCTGCTTAGACTCAGCGGCGCCCCCTACAGGTGGGTTATGTTTCTGCTCCTCGTTCTCCCCCGACGTCCCGCTGCTGCCTGAACAGACAACAGGAACACGTTCACCTTTACGGCTGTTGGAGGGGAGCCTGAACGCACCATCTGACCTAAAACCCTGACAACGACTTTGGCACAGATCAAGTGTTTTACCCTCAGATCCTTTCCAAAGCTTCAGGGCTTCAGAGCCACAGCTACAGCATGGTTATGGCTACGAGCATCCTCAAGGTCCTCTATTATACCCTCATTCAACCATATATCACAGGTCTCAGATGTATACAGAACCTGTCTCTGATTGGCTGAAACACAAGGGGGTTACCTTGGTCGGTGATTGGCTAAAGACACTCACCTTTAGCACCACTCCCTGTGGACTCCTCCTCCTCCTCACTGCTCCTCTCCCCCTGAGAGAGGGAGCATCATGACATCATCATGACATCATCCTTACATCATCATGACATCATCACATCATCATGACATCATCACATCATCATGACATCATCACGACATCATCATGTCATCAACCCCCCCCCCCTCCTCACCAGGTGAGTGTTGCAGGTGAGTCTGCGGAGGCGTGTCCTCAGCTGTAACTCCTCCCCCTGTGACTTCAGCAGCAGCAGCTCAAGCCTATCGGATTGCTCGCTGAGCTGCCTGACCTGTTCCCTGCACTGATCCTTCTCCTGGAGGAGCAGCCGAGCCTCCTCCTGCTGCTGCGCCCGGGACGCCACCGCCTGGAGGAGAACCACATGATAACAACAGAGCCTGGAGGAGAACCACATGATAACAACAGAGCCTGGAGGAGAACCACATTACATTACATTGCATTTAGCTGACGCTTTTATCCAAAGCGACTTACAATAAGTGCGTTCGACCAGGAAGATACAACCTTGAAGAAAACAGAATCATATAAGTTCATCAGGTTTCATAGAGCCAAACATTTCAAGTGCTACTCAACTGGCTTTAGATAAGCCAGCCCTTTATTAGTATATAAGTGCTTTGTTAGTAATTCTATCTCTCGAAGTGGAGTCCAAAGAGATGAGTTTTCAGTCTGAAGAAGATGTGTAAGCTTTCTGCTGTCCTGATTTCAATGGGGAGCTCATTCCACCATTTTGGAGCCAGGATAGCAAACCCACGTGTTTCTGCTGATGGGAACTTGGGTCCCCCTCGCAGTGCGGGTGCAGCGAGCTGTTTGGCCGATGCAGAGCGGAGTGCACGTGCTTGGGTGTACGGTTTAACCATGTCCTGGATGTAGGAAGGGCCAGATCCATTCACAGCATGGTACGCAAGTACCAGAGTCTTGAAGTGGATTCTAGCAGTTACTGGAAGCCAGTGAAGGGAGTGGAGGAGCGACGTGGTGTGGGAACATTTAGGAAGGTTGAAGACCAGACGAGCCGCTGCATTCTGGATGAGCTGCAGAGGTCGGATGGCACATGCAGTCAGACCAGCCAGGAGGGAGTTGCAGTAGTCTAGGCGTGAGATGACGAGAGCCTGGACCAGAACCTGCGCTGATTTCTGGGTCAGCTGGGGACATATCCTCCTGATGTTGTAAAGAGTGTATCTGCAGCAGCGGGTTGTTGCAGCGATGTTTGCAATGAAGGAACAGTTTGTTATCTACGGTCTGTTGGAGATTGAGGATGTTTAAAACCAACCTCGTCTCCGC